AGAGACATATCTATGATGTCATCACCACAGGACCATTACCTTAATTCCGCAAATCCCATCCAAGCCCACCCCCACGCTTCTGCCTCTATTACCTACAAAGCGGCTTGCGCAGCAAAAGACACGGGTCCCGCTTTCATCTGTGGCGAGGAACCGTTCTTTAGATTCTTGTTGTTTTCCCTCATCCGATGCTGTCCTTCTGCGGTAACTACGAACCCAACTTAGGCGCGATGCGTGCTTAAAATTGATTTTAACCGCAGTTGATCTATCTCCACATTGTCCTTCGAGGTGTGTCCTGATCCAATTCAAAAAGATGTATATTTACAGCCGATTCACTCGAGGCCCAACACTTAAGAATTAAGCGTTCAAACCTGTCAGCCAGTGTTAGAGCGCCATTTTTCACTTATCTGCTTCGTCGGGGTCCAGTGACACCACGAGGTCGTTCGCCGTTAGTGGCAGTGCCAAATCCTCCCTATTCGCCATCCTGTCTTGTTACTGCCAGTGTGCATCACCACTCGCTTTGCAAAACACGCGACATTCCACATGTATCTAGTGCTGGTACGCAGTTTCCTGCAAGATCGAAGTATTGCCAACTTCACACGAAATCTCACATAGGGAAATCCTAGGGTAACTATTTTACTTGATTCTGCGTGAGAGGATGGAATCTACCGCAAGACTTCCAAAGGGATGAATCGCGCTCGCTGTGAACTGTGCAGCATCTACGAGTGTTATCACCCGTTGCGTATCAGACCTTTCCTTCCATCTGCCTGTCATTGGCCATGTCGTTGAAGCAGAGGGTCGTTGGTCTCCTCGCCGCGGAGGTGATGTTCTCACCGCCGTCAATGCTGCATCGGAGCTTTACGATTTTCCACTGGTGTCGCACTCCTGATCCTCAGCGAGATCGAAGTAGTAATAATTTATACCGAGCCAGGAGCGCAAGTTAACAATATGCATTATGTAGAAGTTCAGGGGAAACAAGGAGGAATGGGAGAGTTTTGGAAAATGTGTCGCGGACGCATGGTCGATGTGGTTGCAGGCATCGATTTGTGCAATGCGTCTAATGAAGAGGTTAAGCTGCGGATGGAAAGTGTCACGAAGCTAAGCGAGTAAGTAGTATCTACTCTTTTGCGAGCCGTTGCCATCGTATAACGTAGGTACTTGTGGTTGCGCAGCAGCGTACGAAATTGATCGATTGTGCGGAAAGGTGGAAAGACAATCAAGTACCCACAACCCCCTCCCCACACGAAGAACCCCAGCAGGATCGGTGATTCGAGGAAGCGCGGCCTCGGCATTCTTCAAGGTAACTGTGTTTTGATCCTCGTCGGTCATGTTGCTATCTGATCTCGTTATCGAACCATTAGGTCGGTACAATCAAATCGGTTAATTCGTGGAGTCGTGAATTCTTCTGTTTTGAATGGACTCAAGGTATCCATTGTGTCCATCGCGGCTCAGCTCAGGTGTGTCTGAAAACATTACGACCGATCGGATCGAGCATCTTATGGTCTCGTGTCGTAACACAGGGGATAGTGAGAATCGCGTATTACTGCGAGCGCCATGGCCGGTGCCGACAAGATTCCGCAGAACACGCACATGCACGCGCACACAGTGCAAGGTCATCTAGCTCGTCTTTGTTCGACGTGACGTGGTTATCAGAGTCGCGACATATCACTCCGGACTGCGAAGCTCGTCAAGTTCAACCAAAGTCCAATGGACCGTTACGTTTTCGATCTACTACCATCACAATTTTCCAGAACCGAGAATGACTGTTCAGGTCACCGATGATAAAAAGGTGGACAAGATTCCATAGGGTCACAAAATGCATCTTCCGTACATACAATTATGAGGAAAAGGACTTGAAACGTCTCGACTCGAAGGAAGAAAGTAAGAAGGGAGGAGCTGCTCAGAGGGAGACTGTTGGTTCTTACGGGTTCTGGCGATCCTGAAGGTAATCGTTGGAGGAATCTACGTTTTTGCATGCTCGTGAATTCAACTCGCTGAACCGGTCATTGCTGTATTATACAGATGTTGGTACGAGAAGCAGTGGCCATTCGAGTGAACGTATCCCTCAGTCGCGTAAGTTCTGACATGCCACTCCTGCATCCATTCGGTCTCCGATTCACGATCGCTGCCCAGAGCCTATCATTTGATCTGGCGCCTGAGCATGGCTGCTAAACCGAGCACAATGAACCACTGAGAAATTGTGTCACCCACGGCCCACATCTACATGTTACCGGACATGCGCACGACAGCAGTGGATAGACGGACTTTTCCTTACAATTCCCAAGGGGTATGAACACTTGAATGTTCTACAATTGTGTATCGAAGAAATTACCATTATCATGAGCGGTGTAATGGACACAACATATGCAGGAGGTATTTTCGAGTCGCACGTGGTGATTGGGATCGAGCCAACGCGATTGGGGATCCCCGTGAAAGTGATGAGAAGTACGTAGCGGGATCCTATCGGGGAGGAAGTAATTATTTTGTTCGCAGGGAATAATGATATGAAAGAAGCTTCGAGGGTGATAGGTATTGACGTGACATGTCATACAGCCGGAGTGCTTTGGGATGAGCTGGCTTGGTTCGTCGGGGTTCTTAGGGGAATGGTTCATGGTTGTAAAGTGAGAGATTTCGGCTTGTGGCACACGATCGTGATGAGGAGATCGAGACCAGCAAGACGCCGGGACTCGTTACATAATACCGTTGGCTTTGACGGTTTCACCGAGCTGGATCACCGGGAATCCGGAGCAATCAGGTAATGTGCAGCTGGGTTTGTTACCCAATCCTTCCCATTCTGACCCAATGTTCGGGCGAAGGGCCCATCATCGCTAGCTGTAGGATTGGTTTGCTGTCTGTATAGGGCTCGTCTTACCGTAATGTCATTATTGTTCCGTGGTGAGCCCATGGACAAAATTTTCGGTAGCGTGGGTTCGGCCTCTAGAGGTGTGTTATGTACAACCAACTTTTTCGAGATCCACGCACTCAAGAATCCCGATCGGAGATAAGCATTCAAATTCGTCCGCTTGTGTCAGGCATATCTGCTTCATCCGGGTTACAGTGACACAGCAAGGACGTCAGCTGCGGTGGTAATGCCAAATCCTCCCATTCCGCATCTTCTTGTTGCTTCCGGGGCGCATCACATACATTTTTTGCGAACATGCAGCAGTCTATGTGCGCCTGGCACCGGCCTTCTTGCAAGGTCGAAGGATGTTCCCGAACTTTGCATCAAACCTCCCATAGCGAACCTAGAGCAGAACCAAGATAGATGGGTGTGGATCGGTTTCTCAGTTGGTTCTGCATAAGAGGATGAATCTGCCGCAAGACTTCCATAAGCGCGCAATGGGATGAATTGCGCCTTGCGGCGATCTCATGGCTGTGAACTGCGCAACCTCTACTTGAGTGTCACCATCCGCTGCGCGACCGACCTTTTCTCCCCATCCTTCACTATTGATATGTCGCTGAAGCAGAGGGTCGATAATCTCCTCACCGTTGGAGGCGATGTTGCCATTCCAGTCCTCACTGCCGTCAATACCGCATCGGGCGTGTTCCTCCCCTACAGGCTGCCACCAATGCCGCACTCCTCATCCTCACTGAAATCAAAGTAGTAGTAATTTATATCGATCCTGGGACGGAACTTGACAATCTGCATTTATAGAAATTCAAGGGAAATAAGGGAGAATTGGAGCGTTTTGGAAAATATATCGGGGACGCCATGGTCAATGTGGTTACAGCCATTGGTTCGTATGGTGAATCTAATGAAAAACCCAAGTCGTGGGTTGAAAGCGTCAAGAAGCTGGGCGAGTAAGTAGTATCTGCTCATGCAAGCCACTGCGGTTGTATAACATGAGTAATCTGTAGGGCGCTGGAGCGCATTCAAATTGAAATCCGTCGATTGAGTGGAAGATGGAAAGACAGTCTGGTATCCGCAACTTCTTCTCCCATATGAAGAACCCCAGCAGGCTCGATGATTTAAAGAAAGATTTTAGCGAAGCCTTGGCAATGTTCCAGGTAGTTCGTTTGATTCCCTGTTATGTTTCTGTCCTGATCTCATTATCGTAGCTGGAGACAGACTGATGGTTGGTGCGATAGCAAACAATCAAGTTCTGAATGAACTTAAATATCCATTGTCCCCATCACGATTCAACACCCGTGCCTGCCAGACACTAGGATTGATCTGATCGAGCGTATTATGCGTGGTGTCGTACCACGGAGGATAGCAAGAATCGTGTATTACTGCTAAGCCGTGGCCGGTGCGGCAAGACATCTGTTGCGCTCTCGATCGCAGAGGAGTGTAAAAGAGAAAAGATATCATCAGCAAGCTTCTTTTTCAAAGCAGGCGAGCAGTCGCGGCCGGACCATCTGTTCAGCGGCATGGCTCGATCTCTGGCAACCATGACCTGCATACCGTGCCTCCCTCATATCCGCTCTTCAGGAGGATCCAGCCCTCTCGACTGCCCATTCGCGACGCAATTCGAGAAACTAGTGGCTGAACCTCTCCGTCTCAGGACATCCTCGTCTGACCGTCCATGGTGATTATCATTGATGCGTTAGATGAGTGCGACACAAAGTCATTCCCACGTCTTGCCGATATACTTCGGAAAGCAGTCCCAAAACTACCACCTAACATCAAATTCTTTCTCACTTCGAGACAATTTGACCTCGTTGATCGTTTCCTATCACCTAATTACCCTATTGATCGCCTCACCATCGATCTTTCGGACGATGCTAATGCATGACTGTTCTATCTACATCCGATCACAACTACACGAACTGAAGGATGTGCATCCTGGTTTGGAAGATGGAATCGGGGAAGAAGACATTAGTCCAAAGCATACGGGAGCGCGGGCGGCTTGTTCATTTGGATCAGTACTGTCTTTGATTACATGAAGGTCAGCGGTAGTGATGCTGAAGATGCTGAAGAAACTGCTGGATGAAGATCTCAACCGATCAAAGGCATCCGCTGAGGAAATGATGGATAGGCTGTATGCGAGTATTTTGGAGAAGTGTAACTGGAAGGATGACGATTTCGTGCATGACTACCGATCGTGATGGGAGCAATTCTAATCGCACAGAAGCCACTATCTGTTGCGGCCTGGGATGCCATTCTCTCACCACTGCTGGAGTCGGACATCCGATATACATTAGCTCAACTTTCACCTCTCGTCTCAGGAGTAAGGATGCTAAGCCAATTCGTATTCTGCACCAATCCTTTCGTGACTTTCTCATGGACCGAGTCGATCCACAATCACCCATACTTGGTCGATTTGGAGTGGATGCGAGGAGGGAGAACAACAGAGTGGCCCTGCGCTGCATCGAAATCTTGAATAAAGAACTTTCACTATGAAGGATTTAGGGCTGATTGAGGACTTATCCAAAAAGCAAGCTGCCACCCATTCCTCAAGAGGCGCTGTCCGAACATGTCCATTATGCATGTCGGCATTTCGTGCATCATCTCAGCCAATTTCAGGAGCCACTGGAGGCCCAATGGGCCTATTCACGCATTTCTCAATGAGCAAATATCGCGCTGGGTGGAAGTCTGTGTGAGGACGGAAGGGTATATTAGTATATCATTCCCTGAATGGGCCAAGGTACGAATCATCAGTAGCGATCATTTGAGGTGTTCAGTCTCATGTTCCATTCAGTTGAACGTTGATCGGGCCTCCAAAGAAGTCATTCACATTTGGTCAAAGTGTTTCGCAATGTAAGGAGAAATCTTGCATTCTTTTTAAGATTGCAGGAGGCATATGAGTTGGCAAGTGATTCAGTTGCACTGTGCCATTGCCTTGTGTCTATGGACTCAGAGTCCTACACCCCGGATCTGGCTCAAGCACTCGGGAATCTTTGCATCACTCACCAACCTTGGACAACATTCTGAGGCACTCCTTGTGAATGAAGAAAGTGTGAAGCTCTGGCGCGAGCTAGTTGCCACCCATCCAACATCATACACCCCGGATTTGGCTCGAGCGCTCCGGAATCTTAGTATCACTCGACAAAGTTGGACGCCATTCCGAGGCACTCTCACGATCGAAGAAAGTGTGCAACTCTGGCGTGAGCTAGTTGCCACCCATCCAACATCATACACCCCAGATTTGGCTGGAGCGCTCTGGAATTTTTTGTATCACTCGACAAAGTTGACGCCATTCTGAGGCGCTCACCATAATCGGAGAAAGTGTGAAACTCTGGCGCGAGCTCGTTGCCACCCATCAGCATCATACACCCCAGATTTAGCTGTCGCGCTCCGAAATCTTTGTGTATCACTCGACAATGTTGGACGCCATTCTGAGGCGCTCACTGTAATTGAAGAAAGTGTGAAACTCTGGCGCGAGCTCGTTGCCACCCATCCAGCATTCATACACCCCGGATTTGGCTCGAGCGCTCCGGAATCTCATGGTATCACTTAACAAAGTTGGACGCCATTCCAAGGCGCTCACGGTAATTGAAGAATGTGTGAAACTCTGGCGCGAGCTCGTTGTCACCCATCCAGCATCATACACCCGGATTTGGCTGAAGCGCTCCGGAATCTTAAAGTATCACTCGACGAAGTTGGACGCCATTCCGAGGCGCACACGGTAATTGAAGAAAGTGTGAACTCTGGCGCGAGCTCGTTGCCACCATCCAGCATCATACACCCCGGATTTGGCTCGAGCGCTCCAGAATCTTATGTATCACTCGACAAAGTTGGACGCCATTCCGAGGCGCTCACGGTAATTGAAGAAAGTGTGAAACTCTGGTGCGAGCTGGTTGCCGCCATCCAACATCATACACCCGGATTTAGTCGAGCGCTTGGGAGTCTAGATGCATCACTCACCACCTTGGACGACATTCTGACGCACTTCTGCGAATGAAGAAAGTGTGAAGCACTGGCGCGAGCTTGTTGCCATCAAACCGATATCGTACTCCCTGGATTTGGCTCGAGCGCTCCGGAATCTTGTAATATCCCTTGACAATCTCGGACGCCATTCTGAGGCGCTCCTCGTAAATGAAGAACAGCTGGGATCCTGCCAGTAGTTGTCATTTATCTGATATCATCCACTCGGGTTCGACACGATCATTCTGCAGCCTCACCAGCTCATGCAAAAGTCACCATTATGCCAAGGCCTAACTTTGTTCAAGATTTTGTTGTCCGTGCGAGTTACCTACCACCATCATGTGTTTTTGGCATAGCCTTGGTAATGCAGACTCCACCTGTTTTCATGCTAGGCGCTGTGTGGACGCAGTACAGGAGCCAATATTATACTATCACTAGCTTGATTCCCAATACATGCGCACAAGTCTTAACTATCATATTCCTGCGTTGCTCATGGCAGACTCTTCTGCTTCATCGATCATCATTGTTGAGAAGACCCAGGAGTCTAATAATTATCATCGCTTTTCGGGACTCATCAAACCATTTCATCTGAGCGTGAAATTATCACCGGGAATCGGAGTGAAACACACCCAACCTCGCATTCCCGGATCCGGAAAACCGGCCGTGAGCAGACTCGTACCCAGTCGGAGGAGCTCCGTGGAGCGCAAAATAATAGCTCTTTATGTAATGTTCTCGCGTCCTGTATTCAATACAAAGGATCACATGCTACGGAGTTAAAAATAGCCGATCACCTACTCCGGAAATTTGGACGCGACATTGGGGCAAAATGTAGTATGGCTGTGCTCCGGCACTGTCCGGCCACTGTCTTCCCACGGCAAACAAGCTCGCTTCAAGGCTCTAATCATCACACCCTCCCAAGCCATCACAGAAAAAATCCAAAACAAATGTAGTAGTTACCCCACCCAAATTAACCCAGCCAACCCAGCCCAACCGATTCATCTGCTTCTGCTCATATGTGCTAAAATTATGTTGAATCTTGTATCGCGCACTCAGCACTTTGTCATATTGAGCCCAGTCAAGGGAAAAACATGGTGGAACTACTAATCATAGTCCAATCCACTCTGGTGTTGATCACTACGTATCCTCACCCCAAGAAATTGGCTGATGAGGTGAAAAAGGATATTATTTTGAGTGCGCAATACAAATTCCAACATAATTTTAGCACATATGAGCAAGAAGCAGATGAATCGGTTGGGCTGGGTTGGGCTGGGTTAATTTGGGTGGGGGTAATACTACATTTGTTTTGGATTTTTTTCTGTATGGCTTGGGGAGGGTGTGATGATTAGAGCCTTGAAGCGAGCTTGTTTGCCGTGGGAAGACAGAGGCCGGACAGTGCTGGAGCACAGCCATACTACATTTTGCCCCAGTCGGAGGAGTGAAGTGTTAGGCAGGTTACAGCCTCTATTGGAATAGAGGCTGGTTTCACTTGGGGGATTACTGAATGTCTGGTCTACTGAATTGTAGAAAAGGGTCCTACAACATTTTTCCGAGATGATGACATGAAGGAATTGGCATAATTCGAGGACTGTTTGTTTGTTTGTATTTACCCTTTGATCCTGAAATTGCGCTAGATATTTACTGGAAAGGAATTCCTCTCGTATTTCAATGTGTCCTCAACACTGAAACTCTTACCAGCTAACCGTGAATATGGAAAATGAGAATACCATGCCAGTTAATCTGCCACAACGAGGACGCCCCCTTCTACCAAGTGCAAAGCTTCCTCATGGGTACTGTCGAGCTCTCTCACCATCCAAGCAGGCCAGGTGAATAGCAACTCATTACCAACCCAACACCCCCTTCACAAATCCTGAAACCTCCCAATTCGGCTGCACAACTCAGTGTTCTCCACTCCCAGCGCCATTCCCTAGCCAAAGCTGGACCTGCACATGTACACACTATGGTGAATTGCCTGTCACCATGTGTGGAGTTTGCAGAAGCTCAAAGATTCATACATCAACTCGGGCTGAGCGATATAGAAAGCAAAACTTAGCTGGAAAGGCCAAAGTTATCTTTGAGGTCTTATGTGCTCAGCAGCTCACGATTGGCGACTTTTTGATGATTCTCTGTGACCAGAATGAATTGCTCAAGAAGGAAATGAGCTCATCCATGAAGGTTGAAATAGCATGCTTCCTACATGGCCAGAAAAAGTCAAATCAGCCATTGGATTTTGTGCGTGCAATTACTGAGCACCCGATGGCACGTTACGGACGAAAGCAGGAGCCGGTGCACCAAATCCCTTCATATGGAATCCCAACAAGTTACCTGCAACCTTGTTCCGATCTGAGCAAGATAGGGCCAACATTTGGATGCTGGTGTCAGGGAGTCCCAAAGAGAGTGTATGGACAGCTCATATGAAGCACTCCAGAAGTTCTTTGTTGAAAAGGTTGTCGAGCAGGTTCAGTGGGAGACCGAGCTACTACAGAAGGACCCATCACTGCGTAGTCTTGACAATGAAAAGCAAGGCTTCTCATGGGAAAGTGTCAACGAGTTTGTCTCGAGGACATGCAGCAAGTAATTATGGAGAAAGCTCCGTCATCTGGACAATATTGACAGCGATAGCTATCGGTGATGAAAGAGCAACATTGCTCCGGGGTCACACAATGAATGGGAAGAGGGATGGGAAAGGGTCGAATCACATCCGAGACCCATATCTTGTAAGTCTCCATTGCCATAACTCCAAAATGCTAGGATGCACGTACATTTGTCTGTCTAGGGTTGTACTGTGGGGCTTAGTATGATGCTGAGCTTCAGAAACCAGAGGATCAACCGTATTCAATCAATTCTTGGCATGTTGATGTTTGCGATGAATACAAACCAAACCACAGTTTCAATTTTGAGATGGATTGGCCTTGTGGTCGCACACAGTACAACACATAACTGGCTTCACATGGCAGTAGCAGGTGCATCAGCAAATATTAAGGCAATAGGGCATCAAGTGGTTGAGAACAAAGTGTCAGTTCACCTTGTCTATGATAATCTGAATCAGTACCACCAGGAATGGAGGCCATCACTGGATAACCACACATCCCTAGAAAGTGGCACTGCTGCCACTCTCATTATTCAGTGAGATGTAGAGGATGGTGCATTTAATGGTATCGAGTATGAGTGGTGGAGGACCTCAGTATGAAGAGAGGACATCACATACAAGAAAATTTAGAGCGATATTCAATTTGAATCACCTGGCTGCCATTGGGACTACCAACATCCTCCGGATTCTTCTTGAACATGTCCCGGCCTCAAACGTCATCGCAGTGCTGTTCAGCATTTGTATGCACTGTCAGGGGACGGACCCCGGGTCCCCATGACCCCTCTCTACAGTCCACAGTCTAGCCTGTAAACACAGCCCATCTCAGGGCATAACTACTGTGGGTAAGAAAGTGTATAGATAAATGAAGAGTAGGCTACACTTGCCTACTGTGGGTAAGAAAGTGAGAAGAAGGTTAACTTCTCACTTTCCCACAGTGGCCCCAATATGGCGAAAACTTCCGGGGATACCGGAAGTCACATGAGGTGGGATCCGGGGTCGGATCATGCGGCGTGCGGCGCAGGAAGTGCGCGGGAAGTGGAGCGGGTCCGGACGCGGGTCCGGGTCCAGGCTAAGTCAGGGTATGTGCCCTGACACCAGCTGAACGGCTTGTAGAAACTGTGCTAGCAACAATGACACTCCATTATGCAAGGTATAGTCTATTCTTTATCCATTAATTATTATGACATTGGTCTTTTTCCCACAGAGTCATCCTTCGCAAAGGGAGTCATCCCATTTCATTTCCAAACTACATTGCCTCCACACTTGATTGAAGAGCTGAACCTTCATTCATCGCCAGGTGGCTTCTTTCAAACTTGTACTATTGACGAGCTATATAACTTGGCTCACACCATCTATGCCGCGTTTGCATCATCTGAATCTGCATACATGGTGCTTCATCACAACACTCACAATTCCATGCAATATTTTTGACATTACCTCAATCCTTTGCTTGATTCTCTCTACCCAGTCCCACAAGAGCCGAATACTGTGGTGAATGTGAGCCCTGACGACTCGGATGATAGCAACGATGTCAACGATGAAAGCAATGATGGTGTGTCTGTTCCAGTTGGACAGAGTGGGCTTAGTGGGGAAAACTCCGATAATCTTGACCACTTCAAGGACACCGCACCTCTCTGTTCTCCGGACTTGGATACCAGCAGTGACATCCTTCTTTTCAACAACATTCTCCTCTATCGCGATATGCTATTTTACTGGGAATTTAGGTCGAGTATCAAGGACAGCGATATCGGACGAACCTTTGAGGTAATCAAGGTGTGTTAAACCACTTCTTCTGTGTCTATTACTCGCCCACCAGCGCCCTTTATCCCAGTGGCTTCGAGTGTGGTTTTTTGGAGCCAGTGCTACCAATTATGGTCAAGAGTTGCTGCATCAAGCCCTTGATCTCTGGTTCCACTTCACCGAAAAAATGAAGAATGCAGTTTTTAACAATTATGTCATTAGCCCATCTGGGAGGGGCGATGGTTGCAGACGAGACCTGCTTCAAGAGCACAGCAACTTCTGGCTCAAGCAGGTTTTTAATGGACACTTGGCCAAGTTCGATTCCAGCTTCTTGCGTGAAGCTGTCACGCTGAATATCATCCCACTTAAGGAACTTGCCCAAACGATTTTGCAAAAATTTTGGCCTCACCAACATATTTTCAGGGCGCTTAAAAGCAGATATTGCAGTGGACATCAACTTCCTTGGCCATTCATATCTTACGCAGCGCCACCATATCTACCAGCCTGGCCAAGTTCAGTCTTTCTTGGCAGTGGACAGTATTGAGCGAGGATCTGCCAAGCTTGAAGAGGGGGCATTACAGAAGTTTCTCGATAAGCACTTCTATCAAAAATAATTGTAGAATATAAATCCCAACAGATTTTTGACTATCTCTTGTTTGCTTCTAGATTATACTGTGCACATTCAGTAAGCTTGATCACACGTGGCCCAGTGACCACATCCCCAACCACTGTATTCTTCCACCCATCAAGTCATTGCTGCCTCTGCCTATCGCTTTAGTTCTACCTCCATCCATCACCCCATTTTCACATCCATCCATTCCTTCACTTCTGTCTCCATTCCTTCAATGACCTCATTGCTTCCCACCACCTTCTTGATCTTGTTTGTCAGCACACGTTTCTGGTTCTATGCTGCATACTGGTTGTTCAACCTCTGGATAAGGTCCCACAGAGAGTTTCGCTGGCTGGCGTCATCTGCGAGATGGTACTCAACCCTGCCAAGTAGTTGAGTAGCTTCGGTTCCACTATGAAGGAATGCAGGCGTTCTGTGAGTTTTTTAATCTCTCCATTGCTAAGGATTTGTCCCAGGGTGAGATTCTGCCACAGAGGTTTGGGAAGCAAGAACCAAGCATTTTGTCGCCAGGTAGTAAGTTGTGTGAGTGCCTCAACTTTCTGTTCCTTTGTGAGTTCTTGAAAATTTTTGGGTCGATCTTTCGGAAGCGGCAATGCAGTTGCCTTTGTGGTCGCTTTCTGGCATGCAATTCTGGCAATGTGATTTTTCACCATGTCCTCATCATGGCGGAGAGTCTCAGGCTGGCATGACTCGCAGCAAATGGGTGGCTTAATGAACATATCACCATAATATCCACAGAACACAGATCTTTGACAGCCGCTGGAAGGAGGATTGAAGAATGTGATGAGGCCCGGTGCAATTTTGGTTTGGAATTCCTGACGCGCGGTGATTTGTGTTTGTGTTAAGGGTTTTCTTCTTACTGATCCATCGACATAGGTCCCATCATCCTTTGTGGATTTATCACACATTTCTGGTGTGATCCTCATATCATCGGCCCATAAACAATAAATGTCCCACCACTCCCATCCCAACTTGCATGACCTGCCCACTGTGTCATTTCCTCAAATGACTTTGGCAAGTCTACACACACAACCCGCTGGACAGGTAAGTTGAGTCCTACATTTGCACAGATGGTAGCAACAACATATTGGATTGTTCCAGAAACTAGCCAAGTGCATATCTTTCCACGATCTTCCTTATGGAGTTCCGCATGGAATGGCCAGACCAGATTGGGTGTGTCAATGGCTTCTGCAGCCACTTTGTGTAGTTCACGTATTAGCCATTCGCTGAACATCATCGTTTTCTCCACAGTGTTGATGGCAAATATTGTTGGTGTAAGATCGGATGGTGACTCAAGTTTTTGGGGGATTGCCCATGTGAAATCTGGGAACTTGAGCCCCTCGACAGAGTGATAATGTATGCAGGCACAGTACTTAATGTCAGCCCGATCCACAGGGAGTTTAACGTCACTGAATTTTGACCCATGGAAGCCCAGCATAAACTGAATCTCCAACCAAGCTTTCTGATTCACAGAACCAGACATAGCCAAGAATGGGACATTGGATCCAATACGTGAGCGTACCTCTGACAGCACCTTATGCTTTGGTCAGAACTTCTCCCAATCCTTCACTAAGTGAACTTCGTCTATTGCACAGAACCCCAACATTCTACAAAACTCAGACCCATGAAGGAGTTTGCTAGCCATGCTTTCAGTAAGCATTTCTGGACTCATTCCTATCATGTCCCACTGAAGATTCTGGGCCTCATCCCATAGATTTTGTTGATCACATGCAAAGGCTTCGGCAATTGTTTCCGCATTAATTGCTATAAATCGAACGTTTTTATTCCTCACATTTGTCTCCTGGAACAAAATTCAGATGGTTTGTTCAGGTTTGTCCTTCAGTTGTAAACCCATACCTGATCCACCATCAATTCTACAGTAGGGTAGACAACAATGGCGATGTGCGGCCTCTTCAACACTCGGCATGCAATTACAGGAGCCATTGTCAACATTGATTTCCCATTCCCGGTCCGAGATGTAAGAAACACATCTATATTCTGGCAAAGATGTACTGCATTTTGAGTCTGCCATGGATGTGGCTCCACACGAAACCAGATATTGAATATAGCAGTCATCCATGGGACAGTCTCTGGTGTATATGGTTCCAATATCTCTCGAAGCCGTTCAATTGCATGGTTATAGTGTGAATCCCGTTTGTCCCACAGCCTCTCATTGAACTCAGGGAGAGAAGTTAATCCCTCCATTGTGAGGGTGAAATGAAAAAAGATAATCAAAAGAGGCTGGCTGGCATCTACCGAATAAATTGCTTAGTCATCTGCTCACATAACTACACTTACACAACTGGACCCTTTTGCAACCATTCAGTAGACCAGCAATTCAGTCACCCATCAAGTGAAATAAGACTAGGGATTAACTTCTCTCCCTGAGTTCAATGAGAGGCTGTGGGACAAACGGGATTCACACTATAACCATGCAATTGAACGGCTTCGAGAGATATTGGAACCATATACACCAGAGACTGTCCCATGGATGACTGCTATATTCAATATCTGGTTTCGTGTGGAGCCACATCCATGGCAGACTCAAAATGCAGTACATCTTTGCCAGAATATAGATGTGTTTCTTACATCTCGGACCGGGAATGGGAAATCAATGTTGACAATGGCTCCTGTAATTGCATGCCGAGTGTTGAAGAGGCCGCACATCGCCATTGTTGTCTACCCTACTGTAGAATTGATGGTGGATCAGGTATGGGTTTACAACTGAAGGACAAACCTGAACAAACCATCTGAATTTTGTTCCAGGAGACAAATGTGAGGAATAAAAACGTTCGATTTATAGCAATTAATGCGGAAACAATTGCCGAAGCCTTTGCATGTGATCAACAAAATCTATGGGATGAGGCCCAGAATCTTCAGTGGGACATGATAGGAATGAGTCCAGAAATGCTTACTGAAAGCATGGCTAGCAAACTCCTTCATGGGTCTGAGTTTTGTAGAATGTTGGGGTTCTGTGCAATAGACGAAGTTCACTTAGTGAAGGATTGGGAGAAGTTCTGACCAAAGCATAAGGTGCTGTCAGAGGTACGCTCACGTATTGGATCCAATGTCCCATTCTTGGCTATGTCTGGTTCTGTGAATCAGAAAGCTTGGTTGGAGATTCAGTTTATGCTGGGCTTCCATGGGTCAAAATTCAGTGACGTTAAACTCCCTGTGGATCGGGCTGACATTAAGTACTGTGCCTGCATACATTATCACTCTGTCGAGGGGCTCAAGTTCCCAGATTTCACATGGGCAATCCCCCAAAAACTTGAGTCACCATCCGATCTTACACCAACAATATTTGCCATCAACACTGTGGAGAAAACGATGATGTTCAGCGAATGGCTAATACGTGAACTACACAAAGTGGCTGCAGAAGCCATTGACACACCCAATCTGGTCTGGCCATTCCATGCGGAACTCCATAAGGAAGATCGTGGAAAGATATGCACTTGGCTAGTTTCTGGAACAATCCAATATGTTGTTGCTACCATCTGTGCAAATGTAGGACTCAACTTACCTGTCCAGCGGGTTGTGTGTGTAGACTTGCCAAAGTCATTTGAGGAAATGACACAGTGGGCAGGTCATGCAAGTTGGGATGGGAGTGGTGGGACATTTATTGTTTATGGGCCCGATGATATGAGGATCACACCAGAAATGTGTGATAAATCCACAAAGGATGATGGGACCTATGTCGATGGATCAGTAAGAAGAAAACCCTTAACACAAACACAAATCACCGCGCGTCAGGAATTCCAAACCAAAATTGCACCGGGCCTCATCACATTCTTCAATCCTCCTTCCAGCGGCTGTCAAAGATCTGTGTTCTGTGGATATTATGGTGATATGTTCATTAAGCCACCCATTTGCTGCGAGTCATGCCAGCCTGAGACTCTCCGCCATGATGAGGACATGGTGAAAAATCACATTGCCAGAATTGCATGCCAGAAAGCGACCACAAAGGCAACTGCATTGCCGCTTCCGAAAGATCGACCCAAAAATTTTCAAGAACTCACAAAGGAACAGAAAGTTGAGGCACTCACACAACTTACTACCTGGCGACAAAATGCTTGGTTCTTGCTTCCCAAACCTCTGTGGCAGAATCTCACCCTGGGACAAATCCTTAGCAATGGAGAGATTAAAAAACTCACAGAACGCCTGCATTCCTTCATAGTGGAACCGAAGCTACTCAACTACTTGGCAGGGTTGAGTACCATCTCGCAGATGACGCCAGCCCAGCGAAACTCTCTGTGGGACCTTATCCAGAGGTTGAACAACCAGTATGCAGCATAGAACCAGAAACGTGTGCTGACAAACAAGATCAAGAAGGTGGTGGGAAGCAATGAGGTCATTGAAGGGAATGGAGACAGAAGTGAAGGAATGGATGGATGTGAAAATGGGGTGATGGATGGAGGTAGAACTAAAGCGATAGGCAGAGGCAGCAATGACTTGATGGGTGGAAGAATACAGTGGTTGGGGATGTGGTCACTGGGCCACGTGTGATCAAGCTTACTGAATGTGCACAGTATAATCTAGAAGCAAACAAGAGATAGTCAAAAATCTGTTGGGATTTATATTCTACAATTATTTTTGATAGAAGTGCTTATCGAGAAACTTCTGTAATGCCCCCTCTTCAAGCTTGGCAGATCCTCGCTCAATACTGTCCACTGCCAAGAAAGACTGAACTTGGCCAGGCTGGTAGATATGGTGGCGCTGCGTAAGATATGAATGGCCAAGGAAGTTGATGTCCACTGCAATATCTGCTTTTAAGCGCCCTGAAAATATGTTGGTGAGGCCAAAATTTTTGCAAAATCGTTTGGGCAAGTTCCTTAAGTGGGATGATATTCAGCGTGACAGCTTCACGCAAGAAGCTGGAATCGAACTTGGCCAAGTGTCCATTAAAAACCTGCTTGAGCCAGAAGTTGCTGTGCTCTTGAAGCAGGTCTCGTCTGCAACCATCGCCCCTCCCAGATGGGCTAATGACATAATTGTTAAAAACTGCATTCTTCATTTTTTCGGTGAAGTGGAACCAGAGATCAAGGGCTTGATGCAGCAACTCTTGACCATAATTGGTAGCACTGGCTCCAAAAAACCACACTCGAAGCCACTGGGATAAAGGGCGCTGGTGGGCGAGTAATAGACACAGAAGAAGTGGTTTAACACACCTTGATTACCTCAAAGGTTCGTCCGATATCGCTGTCCTTGATACTCGACCTAAATTCCCAGTAAAATAGCATATCGCGATAGAGGAGAATGTTGTTGAAAAGAAGGATGTCACTGCTGGTATCCAAGTCCGGAGAACAGAGAGGTGCGGTGTCCTTGAAGTGGTCAAGATTATCGGAGTTTTCCCCACTAAGCCCACTCTGTCCAACTGGAACAGACACACCATCATTGCTTTCATCGTTGACATCGTTGCTATCATCCGAGTCGTCAGGGCTCACATTCACCACAGTATTCGGCTCTTGTGGGACTGGGTAGAGAGAATCAAGCAAAGGATTGAGGTAATGTCAAAAATATTGCATGGAATTGTGAGTGTTGTGATGAAGCACCATGTATGCAGATTCAGATGATGCAAACGCGGCATAGATGGTGTGAGCCAAGTTATATAGCTCGTCAATAGTACAAGTTTGAAAGAAGCCACCTGGCGATGAATGAAGGTTCAGCTCTTCAATCAAGTGTGGAGGGCAATGTAGTTTGGAAATGAAATGGGATGACTCCCTTTGCCGAAGGATGACTCTGTGGAAAAAGACCAATGTCATAATAATTAATGGATAAAGAATAGACTATACCTTGCATAATGGAGTGTCATTGTTGCTAGCACAGTTTCTACAAGCCGTTCAGCTGGTGTCAGGGCACATACCCTGACTTAGCCTGGACCCGGACCCGCGTCCGGACCCGCTCCACTTCCCGCGCACTTCCTGCGCCGCACGCCGCATGATCCGACCCCGGATCCCACCTCATGTGACTTCCGGGTATCCCCGGAAGTTTTCGCCATATTGGGGCCACTGTGGGAAAGTGAGAAGTTAACCTTCTTCTCACTTTCTTACCCACAGTAGGCAAGTGTAGCCTACTCTTCATTTATCTATACACTTTCTTACCCACAGTAGTTATGCCCTGAGATGGGCTGTGTTTACAGGCTAGACTGTGGACTGTAGAGAGGGGTCATGGGGACCCGGGGTCCGTCCCCTGACAGTGCATACAAATGCTGAACAGCACTGCGATGACGTTTGAGGCCGGGGACATGTTCAAGAAGAATCCGGAGGATGTTGGTAGTCCCAATGGCAGCCAGGTGATCAAATTGAATATCGCTCTAAATTTTCTTGTATGTGATGTCCTCTCTTCATACTGAGGTCCTCCACCACTCATACTCGATACCATTAAATGCACCATCCTCTACATCTCACTGAATAATGAGAGTGGCAGCAGTGCCACTTTCTAGGGATGTGTGGTTATCCAGTGATGGCCTCCATTCCTGGTGGTACTGATTCAGATTATCATAGACAAGGTGAACTGACACTTTGTTCTCAACCACTTGATGCCCTATTGCCTTAATATTTGCTGATGCACCTGCTACTGCCATGTGAAGCCAGTTATGTGTTGTACTGTGTGCGACCACAAGGCCAATCCATCTCAAAATTGAAACTGTGGTTTGGTTTGTATTCATCGCAAACATCAACATGCCAAGAATTGATTGAATACGGTTGATCCTCTGGTTTCTGAAGCTCAGCATCATACTAAGCCCCACAGTACAACCCTAGACAGACAAATGTACGTGCATCCTAGCATTTTGGAGTTATGGCAATGGAGACTTACAAGATATGGGTCTCGGATGTGATTCGACCCTTTCCCATCCCTCTTCCCATTCATTGTGTGACCCGGAGCAATGTTGCTCTTTCATCACCGATAGCTATCGCTGTCAATATTGTCCAGATGACGGGAGCTTTCTCCATAATTACTTGCTGCATGTCCTCGAGACAAAACTCGTTGACACTTTCCCATGAGAAGCCTTGCTTTTCATTGTCAAGACTACGCAGTGATGGGTCCTTCTGTAGTAGCTCGGTCTCCCACTGAACCTGCTCGACAACCTTTTCAACAAAGAACTTCTGGAGTGCTTCATATGAGCTGTCCATACACTCTCTTTGGGACTCCCTGACACCAGCATCCAAATGTTGGGCCCTATCTTGCTCAGATCGGAACAAGGTTGCAGGTAACTTTGTTGGGATTCCATATGAAGGGATTTGGTGCACCGGCTCCTGCTTTCGTCCGTAACGTGCCATCGGGTGCTCAGTAATTGCACGCACAAAATCCAATGGCTGATTTGACTTTTTCTGGCCATGTAGGAAGCATGCTATTTCAACCTTCATGGATGAGCTCATTTCCTTCTTGAGCAATTCATTCTGGTCACAGAGAATCATCAAAAAGTCGCCAATCGTGAGCTGCTGAGCACATAAGACCTCAAAGATAACTTTGGCCTTTCCAGCTAAGTTTTGCTTTCTATATCGCTCAGCCCGAGTTGATGTATGAATCTTTGAGCTTCTGCAAACTCCACACATGGTGACAGGCAATTCACCATAGTTGTGTACATGTGCAGGAGTCCAGCTTTGGCTAGGGAATGGCGCTGGGAGTGGAGAACACTGAGTTGTGCAGCCGAATTGGGAGGTTTCAGGATTTGTGAAGGGGGGTGTTGGGGTTGGTAATGAGTTGCTATTCACCCTGGCCTGCTTGGATGGTGAGAGAGGCTCGACAGTGACCCATGAGGAAGCTTTGCACTTGGTAGAAGGGGGCGTCCTCGTTGTGGCAGATTAACTGGCATGGTATTCTCATTTTCCATATTCACGGTTAGCTGGTAAGGAGTTTCAGTGTTGAGGACACATTGAAATACGAGAGGAATTCCTTTCCAGTAAATATCTAGCGCAATTTCAGGATCAAAGGGTAAATACAAACAAACAAACAGTCCTCGAATTATGCCAATTCCTTCATGTCATCATCTCGGAAAAATGTTGGGTAGGACCCTTTTCTTACAATTCAGTAGACCAGACATTCAGTAATCCCCCAAGTGAAACCAGCCTCTATTCCAATAGAGGCTGGTAACCTGCCTAACACTTCACTCCTCCGACTGGGGCAAAATGTAGTATGGCTGTGCTCCAGCACTGTCCGGCCTCTGTCTTCCCACGGCAAACAAGCTCGCTTCAAGGCTCTAATCATCACACCCCTCCCCAAGCCATCACAGAAAAAATCCAAAACAAATGTAGTAGTTACCCCCACCCAAAATTAACCCAGCCCAACCCAGCCCAACCCGATTCATCTGCTTCTTGCTCATATGTGCTAAAATTATGTTGGAATCTTGTATTGCGCACTCAAAATAATATCCTTTTTCACCTCATCAGCCAATTTCTTGGGGTGAGGATACGGTAGTGATCAACACCAGAGTAGGATTGGACTATGATTAGGTAGTTCCACCATGTTTTTCCCTTGACTGGGCTCAATAATGACAAAGTGCTGAGTGCGCGATACAAGATTCCAACATAATTTTAGCACATATGAGCAAGAAGCAGATGAATCGGGTTGGGCTGGGTTGGGCTGGGTTAATTTTGGGTGGGGGTAACTACTACATTTGTTTTGGATTTTTTCTGTGATGGCTTGGGGAGGGGTGTGATGATTAGAGCCTTGAAGCGAGCTTGTTTGCCGTGGGAAGACAGTGGCCGGACAGTGCCGGAGCACAGCCATACTACATTTTGCCCCAAGTGTCGCGTCCAAATTTCCGGAGTAGGTGATCGGCTATGTGTTTAACTCCGTAGCATGTGATCCTTTGTATTGAATACAGGACGCGAGAACATTACATAAAGAGCTATTATTTTGCGCGTCCACGGAGCTCCTCCGACTGGGTACGAGTCTGCTCACGGCCGGGTTTTCCGGATCCGGGAATGCGAGGTTGGGTGTGTTTCACTCCGGATTCCCGGTGATAACTTTCACGCTCAGATGAAATGGTCTTGATGAGTCCCGAAAAGCGATGATAATTATTAGACTCCTGGGTCTTCTCAAACAATGATGATCGATGAAGCAGAAGAAAGTCTGCCATGAGCAACGCAGGAATATGATAGTTAAGACTTGTGCGCATGTATTGGGAATCAAGCTAGTGATAGTATAATATTGGCTCCTGTACTGCGTCCACACAGCGCCCTAGGCATGAAAACAGGTGGAGTCTGCATTACCAAGGCTATGCCAAAAACACATGATGGTGGGTAGGTAACTCGCCACGGACAACAAAATCTTGAACAAAAGTTAGGGCCTTGGCATAATGGTGACTTTTGCATGAGCTGGTGAGGCTGCAGAATGATCGTGTCGAACCCGGAGTGGATGATATCAGATAAATGACAACTACTGGGGCAGGAGTCCCAGCTGTTCTTCATTTACGAGGAGCGCCTCAGAATGGCGTCCGAGATTGTCAAGGGATATTACAAGATTCCGGAGCGCTCGAGCCAAATCCAGGGAGTACGATATCGGTTTGATGGCAACAAGCTCGCGCCAGTGCTTCACACTTTCTTCATTCGCAAGAAGTGCGTCAGAATGTCGTCCAAGGTTGGTGAGTGATGCATCTAGACTCCCAAGCGCTCGAGCTAAATCCGGGGTGTATGATGTTGGATGGGCGGCAACCAGCTCGCACCAGAGTTTCACACTTTCTTCAATTACCGTGAGCGCCTCGGAATGGCGTCCAACTTTGTCGAGTGATACCATAAGATTCTGGAGCGCTCGAGCCAAATCCGGGGTGTATGATGCTGGATGGGTGGCAACGAGCTCGCGCCAGAGTTTCACACTTTCTTCAATTACCGTGTGCGCCTCGGAATGGCGTCCAACTTCGTCGAGTGATACTTTAAGATTCCGGAGCGCTTCAGCCAAATCCGGGGTGTATGATGCTGGATGGGTGACAACGAGCTCGCGCCAGAGTTTCACACATTCTTCAATTACCGTGAGCGCCTTGGAATGGCGTCCAACTTTGTTAAGTGATACCATGAGATTCCGGAGCGCTCGAGCCAAATCCGGGGTGTATGATGCTGGATGGGTGGCAACGAGCTCGCGCCAGAGTTTCACACTTTCTTCAATTACAGTGAGCGCCTCAGAATGGCGTCCAACATTGTCGAGTGATACACAAAGATTTCGGAGCGCGACAGCTAAATCTGGGGTGTATGATGCTGGATGGGTGGCAACGAGCTCGCGCCAGAGTTTCACACTTTCTCCGATTATGGTGAGCGCCTCAGAATGGCGTCCAACTTTGTCGAGTGATACAAAAAAATTCCAGAGCGCTCCAGCCAAATCCGGGGTGTATGATGCTGGATGGGTGACAACGAGCTCACGCCAGAGTTTCACACTTTCTTCGATTACCGTGAGCGCCTCGGAATGGCGTCCAACTTTGTCGAGTGATACAAAAAGATTCCGGAGCGCTCGAGCCAAATCCGGGGTGTATGATGCTGGATGGGTGGCAACGAGCTCGCGCCAGAGCTTCACACTTTCTTCGTTCACAAGGAGTGCCTCAGAATGTCGTCCAAGGTTGGTGAGTGATGCATCTAGATTCCCGAGTGCTTGAGCCAGATCCGGGGTGTAGGACTCTGAGTCCATAGACACAAGGCAACGGCACAGTGCAACTGAATCACTTGCCATTTCATATGCCTCCTGCAATCTTAAAAAGAATGCAAGATTTCTCCTCACATTGCGGAACACTTTGACCAACTCGTGAATGACTTCTTTGGAGGCCCGATCAACGTTCAACTGAATGGAATATGAGACTGAAACCTCAAATGATCGCTATTGATGATTCGTACCTTGACCCATTCAGGGAACGATGATATACTAATATACCCTTCCGTCCTCACACAGACTTCCACCCAGCGTGATATTTGCTCGTTGAGAAATGCGTGAATAGGCCCATTGGCCGCCTCCACCGGCTCCTGCAATTGGCTGAGATGATGCACGAAATGCCGACATGCATAATGGACATGTTCAGACAACACCTCTTGAGGAATGGGTGGCAGCTTGGCTTTTTTGGATAAGTCCTCAATCAGCCCTAAATCCTTCATAGTCGAAAGTTCTTTATTCAAGATTTCGATGCAGCGCAGGGCCACTCTGTCGTTCTCCCTCCTCGCATCCACTCCAAACCGACCAAGTATAGGTGATTGTGGATCGACTCGGTCCATGATAAAGTCGCGAAAAGATTGGTGTAGAATACGAATTGGCCTTTTAGCATCCTCAACTCCTGAGACGAGGGGTGCAAGTTGAGCTAATGTATATCGGATGCCCGACTCCAGCAGTGGTGAGAGAATGGCATCCCAGGCCGCAACAGATAGTGGCTTCTGTGCGATTAGAATTGCTCCCATCACGACCGGGTAGTCATGGACGAAATCGTCATCCTTCCAGTTACACTTCTCTAAAATACTCGCATACAGCCTATCCATCACTTCCTCAGCGGACGCCTTTGGTCGGTTGAGATCTTCATCCAGCAGTTTCTTCAGCATCTTCATAGCATCGCTACCGCTGACCTTCATGTAATCAAAGACAGTGCTGATCCAAATGAACAAGCCACCCGCTCGCTCTTGTATGCTTTGGACTAATGTGTCTTCTTCCCCGATTCCATCTTCCAAACCAGGATGCACATCCTTCAGTTCGTGTAGTTGTGATCGGATGTAGATAGCACAGTCATGCATGTTAGCATCGTCCGACAGATCGATGGTGAGGCGATCAATAGGGTAATTTGGCGATAGGAAACGATCAACGAGGTCAAATTGTCTCGAAGTGAGAAAGAATTTGATGTTGGGTGGTAGTTTTGGGACCGCTTTCCGAAGTATATCGGCAAGACGTGGGAATGACTTTGTATCGCACTCATCTAACGCATCAATGATAATCACCATAGGACGGTCAGACGAGGATGTCCTGAGACGGAGAGGTTCAGCCACTAGTTTCTCAAATTGCGTCGCGAATGGGGCAGTCGAGAGGGCTGGGTCCTCCTGAAGAGCCGATATGAGGGAGGCACGGTATGCGGGGTCATTGATTGCCAGAGATCGAGCCATGCCGCTGAACAGATGGTCCGGCTGCGACTGCTCCCCTGCTTTGAAAAAGAAGCTTGACGATGATATCTTTTCTCTTTTACACTCCTCTGCAATTGAGAGCGCAACAGATGTCTTGCCCGCACCGGCCACGGCAGTTAGCAGTAATACACGATTCTTGCTATCCTCCGTGGTACGACACCACGCCATAATACCCTCGATCAGATCGATCCTAGTGTCTGGCAGGCACGGCTGTGTTGAATCGTGATGGGGGACAATAGGATATTTAAGTTCATTCAGAACTTGATTGTTTGCTATCGCACCAACCAACAAGTCTGTCTCCAGCTACGATAATGAGATCAGGACAGAAACATAACAGGGAATCAAACGGAACTACCTGGAACATTGCCAAGGCTTCGCTAAAATCTTTCTTTAAATCATCGAGCCTGCTGGGGTTCTTCATATGGGAGAAGAAGTTGCGGATACCAGACTGTCTTTCCATCTTCCCACTCAATCGATGGATTTCAATTTGAATGCGCTCCAGCGCCCTACAGATTACTCATGTTATACAACAGCAATGGCTTGCATAGAACAGATACTACTTACTCACCCAGCTTCTTGACGCTTTCAACCCACGACTTGGGTTTTTCATTAGATTCACCATACGAACCAATGGCTGTGACCACATTGACCATGGCGTCCCCGATATATTTTCCAAAACGCTCCAATTCTCCCTTATTTCCCTTGAAGTTCTATATAATGCAGACTGTCAAGTTCCGTCCCAGGATCGATATAAATTACTACTAACTTTGATTTCAGTGAGGATGAGGAGTGCGGCATTGGTGGCAGCCTGTAGGGGAGGGAACACGCCCGATGCGGTATTGACGGCAGTGAGGACTGGAATGGCAACATCGCCTCCAACGGTGAGGAGATTATCGACCCTCTGCTTCAGCGACATAGTCAATAGTGAAGGATGGGGAGAAAAGGTCGGTCGCGCAGCGGATGGTGACACTCAAGTAGAGGTTGCGCAGTTCACAGCCATGAGATCGCCGCAAGGCGCAATTCATCCCATTGCGCGCTTATGGAAAGTCTTGCGGCAGATTCCATCCTCTTATGCAGAACCAACTGAGAAACCGATCCACACCCATCTATCTTGGTTCTGCTCTAGGTTCGCTATGGGAGGTTTGATGCAAAGTTCGGGAACATCCTTCGACCTTGCAAGAAGGCCGGTGCCAGGCGCACATAGACTGCTGCATGTTCGCAAAAATGTATGGTGATGCGCCCCGGAAGCAACAAGAAGATGGCGGAATGGGAGGATTTGGCATTACCACCGCAGCTGACGTCCTTGCTGTGTCACTGTAACCCGGATGAAGCAGATATGCCTGACACAAGCGGACGAATTTGAATGCTTATTCTCCGATCGGGATTCTTGAGTGCGTGGATCTCGAAAAAGTTGGTTGTACATAACACACCTCTAGAGGCCGAACCCACGCTACCGAAAATTTTGTCCATGGGCTCACCACGGAACAATAATGACATTACGGTAAGACGAGCCCTATACAGACAGCAAACCAATCCCTACAGCTAGCGATGATGGGCCCTTCGCCCGAACATGTGGGTCAGAATGGGAAGGATTGGGTAACAAACCCAGCTGCACATTACCTGATTGCTCCGGATTCCCGGTGATCCAGCTCGGTGAAACCCGTCAAAGCCCAACGGTATTATGTAACGAGTCCCGGCGTCTTGCTGGTCTCGATCTCCTCATCACGATCGTGTGCCACAAGCCGAATCTCTCACTTTACAACCATGAACCATTCCCCTAAGAACCCCCGACGAACCAAGCCAGCTCATCCCAAAGCACTCCGGCTGTATGACATGTCACGTCAATACCTATCACCCTCGAAGCTTCTTTCATATCATTATTCCCTGCGGAACAAAATAATTACTTCCTCCCCGATAGGATCCCGCTACGTACTTCTCATCACTTTCACGGGGATCCCCAATCGCGTTGGCTCGATCCCAATCACCACGTGCGACTCGAAATACCTCCTGCATATGTTGTGTCCATTACACCGCTCATGATAATGGTAATTTCTTCGATACACAATTGTAGAACATTCAAGTGTTCATACCCCTTGGGAATTGTAAGGAAAAGTCCGTCTATCCACTGCTGTCGTGCGCATGTCCGGTAACATGTAGATGTGGGCCGTGGGTGACACAATTTCTCAGTGGTTCATTGTGCTCGGTTTAGCAGCCATGCTCAGGCGCCCCAGATCAAATGATAGGCTCTGGGCAGCGATCGTGAATCGGAGACCGAATGGATGCAGGAGTGCCATGTCAGAACTTACGCGACTGAGGGATACGTTCACTCGAATGGCCACTGCTTCTCGTACCAACATCTCTATAATACAGCAATGACCGGGTTCAGCGAGTTGAATTCACGAGCATGCAAAAACGTAGATTCCTCCAACGATTACCTTCAGGATCGCCAGAACCCGTAAGAACCAACAGTCTCCCTCTGAGCAGCTCCTCCCTTCTTACTTTCTTCCTTCGAGTCGAGACGTTTCAAGTCCTTTTCCTCATAATTGTATGTACGGAAGATGCATTTTGTGACCCTATGGAATCTTGTCCACCTTTTTATCATCGGTGACCTGAACAGTCATTCTCGGTTCTGGAAAATTGTGATGGTAGTAGATCGAAAACGTAACCGGTCCCATTGGACTTTGGTTGAACTTGACGAGCTTCGCAGTCCGGAGTTGATATGTCGCGACTCTGATAACCACGTCACGTCGAACAAAGACGAGCTAGATGACACTTGCACTGTGTGCGCGTGCATGTGCGTGTTCTGCGGAATCTTGTCGGCACCGGCCATGGCGCTCCGCAGTAATACGCGATTCTCACTATCCCCTGTGTTACGACACGAGACCATAAGATGCTCGATCCGATCGGTCGTAATGTCTTTCAGACACACCTGAGCTGAGCCGCGATGGACGACAATGGGATACCTGAGTCCATTCAAAACAGAAGAATTCACGACTCCACGAATTAACCGATTTTGATTGTACCGACCTACATGGTTCCGATAACGAGATCAGAGTAGCAACATGACCGACGAGGATCAAACACAGTTACCTTGAAGAATGCCGAGGCCGCGCTTCCTCGAATCACCGATCCTGCTGGGGTTCTTCGTGTGGGGGAGGGGGTTGTGGGTACTTGGTTGTCTTTCCACCTTTCCGCACAATCGATCAATTTCGTACGCTGCTGCGCAACCACAAGTACCTACGTTATACGATGGCAACGGCTCGCATAAGAGTAGATACTACTTACTCGCTTAGCTTCGTGACACTTTCCATCCGCAGCTTAACCTCTTCATTAGACGCATTGCACAAATCGATGCCTGCAACCACATCGACCATGGCGTCCGCGACACATTTTCCAAAACTCTCCCATTCCTCCTTGTTTCCCCTGAACTTCTACATAATGCATATTGTTAACTTGCGCTCCTGGCTCGGTATAAATTATTACTAACTTCGATCTCGCTGAGGATCAGGAGTGCGACACCAGTGGAAAATCGTAAAGCTCCGATGCAGCATTGACGGCGGTGAGAACATCACCTCCCGCGGCGAGGAGACCAACGACCCTCTGCTTCAACGACATGGCCAATGACAGGCAGATGGAAGGAAAGGTCTGATACGCAACGGGTGATAACACTCGTAGATGCTGCACAGTTCACAGCGAGCGCGATTCATCCCTTTGGAAGTCTTGCGGTAGATTCCATCCTCTCACGCAGAATCAAGTAAAATAGTTACCCTAGGATTTCCTATGTGAGATTTCGTGTGAAGTTGGCAATACTTCGATCTTGCAGGAAACTGCGTACCAGCACTAGATACATGTGGAATGTCGCGTGTTTGCAAAGCGAGTGGTGATGCACACTGGCAGTAACAAGACAGGATGGCGGAATAGGGAGGATTTGGCACTGCCACTAACGGCGAACGACCTCGTGGTGTCACTGGACCCCGACGAAGCAGATAAGTGAAAAATGGCGCTCTAACACTGGCTGACAGGTTTGAACGCTTAATTCTTAAGTGTTGGGCCTCGAGTGAATCGGCTGTAAATATACATACTTTTTGAATTGGATCAGGACACACCTCGAAGGACAATGTGGAGATAGATCAACTGCGGTTAAAATCAATTTTAAGCACGCATCGCGCCTAAGTTGGGTTCGTAGTTACCGCAGAAGGACAGCATCGGATGAGGGAAAACAACAAGAATCTAAAGAACGGTTCCTCGCCACAGATGAAAGCGGGACCCCGTGTCTTTTGCTGCGCAAGCCGCTTTGTAGGTAATAGAGGCAGAAGCGTGGGGGTGGGGCTTGGGATGGGATTTGCGGAATTAAGGTAATGGTCCTGTGGTGATGACATCATAGATATGTCTCTTCGCTTGGCGTGAGGGACAGATGTGGAAGAAGGGAGGGACTGTGGACGGGCCCTTGGGACATTATTTCTTACTTGAAGAATGGTCGGCCGATCAACTGAGGTCGAATTCCCGCACTCACTTGTCAAACAGCCCGCCATTCTGCGTCCTGGAGTCAGAAAGGAATGGAGTCGGAGTGATCACTTCCTCGGGGAGTGTTTCCGACACGTGAAAGAGAAATTGTGGCAAGTGAATATGTATTACATACTCACGGCCGGGTTTTCCGGATCCGGGAATGCGAGGTTGGGTGTGCATGCCTCTTCACTCCGGATTCCCGGTGATAACCTTCACGCTCGGATGAAATGGTCTTGATGAGTCCCGAAAAGCGATGACAATTATTAGACTCCTGGGTCTTCTCAAACAATGATGATCGATCAAGGGAGGGGAAGAAAGTCTGACATGAGCAACGCAGGAATATGATAGTTAAGACTTGTGCGCATGTATTGGGAATCAAGCTAGTGATAGTATAATATTGGCTCCTGACCCGCGTCCGCACAGCGCCCTAGGCATAAAAACAGGTGGAGTCTACATTACCAAGGCTACGCCAAAAACACATGATGGTGGGTAGGTAACTCGCCACGGACAACAAAATCTTGAACAAAAGTTAGGACCTTGGCATAATGGTGACTTTGCATGAGCTGGTGAGGCTGCAGACTGATTGTGTCGAACGCGGAGTGGATGATATCAGATAAATGACAACTACTGGGGCAGGAGTCCGAGCTGTTCTTCATTTACAAGGAGCGCCTCAGAATGGCGTCCGAGATTGTCAAGGGATATTACAAGATTCCGGAGCGCTCGAGCTAAATCCGGGGTGTATGATATCGGTTCGATGGAAACTAGCTCGCGCCAGAGCTTCACACTGTCTTCATTCACAAGGAGTGCCTCAGAATGTTGTCCAATGTTGGTGAGTGATACATCTAGACTCCCAAGTGCTCGAGCTAAATCCGGAGTGTATGATGTTGGATGGGCGGCAACCAGTTCGCGCCAGAGTTTCACACTTTCTTCGATTACCGTGAGTGCCTCGGAATGGCGTCCAACTTTGTCGAGTGATACTTTAAGATTCCGGAGCGCTCCAGCCAAATCTGGGGTGTATGATGCTGGATGGGTGGCAACGAGCTCGCGCCAGAGTTTCACACTTTCTTCGATTGCCGTGAGTGCCTCGGAATGGCGTCCAACTTTGTCGAGTGATACAAAAAAATTCCAGTGCGCTCCAGCCAAATTTGGGGTGTATGATGCTGGTTGGGTGGCAACGAGCTCGCGCCAGAGTTTCAAACTTTCTTCGATTACCATGAGTGCCTCGGAATGGCGTCCAACTTCGTCGAGTGATACTTTAAGATCCTGGAGCGCTCGAGCCAAATCCGGGGTGTATGATGCTAGATGGGTGGCAACGAGCTCGCGCCAGAGTTTCACACTTTCTTCGATTACGGTGAGCGCCTCGGAATGGCGTCCAACTTTGTCGAGTGATACCGTAAGATTCTGGAGCGCTCGAGCCAAATCCGGGGTGTATGATATCGGTTGGATGGCAACTAGCTCGCGCCAGAGCTTCACACTTTCTTCATTCACAAGGAGTGCCTCAGAATGTTGTCCAATGTTGGTGAGTGATACATCTAGACTCCCAAGTGCTCGAGCTAAATCCGGAGTGTATGATGTTGGATGGGCGGCAACCAGTTCGCGCCAGAGTTTCACACTTTCTTCGATTACCGTGAGTGCCTCGGAATGGCGTCCAACTTTGTCGAGTGATACTTTAAGATTCCGGAGCGCTCCAGCCAAATCTGGGGTGTATGATGCTGGATGGGTGGCAACGAGCTCGCGCCAGAGTTTCACACTTTCTTCGATTGCCGTGAGTGCCTCGGAATGGCGTCCAACTTTGTCGAGTGATACAAAAAAATTCCAGTGCGCTCCAGCCAAATTTGGGGTGTATGATGCTGGTTGGGTGGCAACGAGCTCGCGCCAGAGTTTCAAACTTTCTTCGATTACCATGAGCGCCTCGGAATGGCGTCCAACTTCGTCGAGTGATACTTTAAGATCCTGGAGCGCTCGAGCCAAATCCGGGGTGTATGATGCTAGATGGGTGGCAACGAGCTCGCGCCAGAGTTTCACACTTTCTTCGATTACGGTGAGCGCCTCGGAATGGCGTCCAACTTTGTCGAGTGATACTGTAAGATTCTGGAGCGCTCGAGCCAAATCCGGGGTGTATGATGCTGGATGGGTGGCAACGAGCTCGCGCCAGAGCTTCACACTTTCGTCATTCACAAGGAGTGCCTCAGAATGTCGTCCAAGGTTGGTGAGTGATGCATCTAGATTCCCGAGTGCTTGAGCCAGATCCGGGGTGTAGGACTCTGAGTCCATAGCCACAAGGCAACGGCACAGTGCAACTGAATCGCTTGCCAACTCATATGCCTCCTGCAATCTTAAAAAGAACGCAAGATTTCTCCTCATATTGAGAAACACTTTGACCAACTTGTGAATGACTTCTTTGGAGGCCCGATCAACGTTCAACTGCAGGAACATGAAACTGAACAAGAACCTCAAACAATCGCTACTGATGATTCGTACCTTGGCCCATTCAGGGAACGATGATATACTAATATACCCTTCCGTCCTCACACAGACTTCCACCCAGTGTGATATTTGCTCGTTGAGAAATGCGTGAATAGGCCCAGTATTGGCCGCCTCCAGCGGCTCCTGCAATTGGCTGAGATGATGCACGAAATGCCGACATGCATAATGGACATGTTCGGACAGCACCTCTTGAGGAATGGGTGGCAGCTTGGCCTTTTTGGATAAGCCCTCAATCAGCCCTAAATCCTTCATAGTCGAAAGTTCTTTATTCAAGATTTCGATGCAGCGCAGGGCCACTCTGTCGTTCTCCCTCCTCGCATCCACTCCAAACCGACCAAGTATGGGTGATCGTGGATCGACTCGGTCCGTGATAAAGTCGCGAAAAGATTGGTGCAGAATACGAATTGGCCTTTTAGCATCCCCAACTCCTGAGACGAGGGGTGCAAGTTGAGCTAATGTATATCGGATGCCCGACTCCAGCAGTGGTGAGAGAATGGCGTCCCAGGCCGCAACAGATAGCGGCTTTTGTGCAATTAGAATTGCTCCCATCACGATCGGGTAGTCATGCACGAAATCGTCATCCTTCCAGTTACACTTCTCTAAAATACTTGCATACAGCCTATCCATCACTTCCTCAGCGGACGCCTTTGGTCGGTTGAGATCTTCATCCAGCAGTTTCTTCAGCATCTTCATAGCATCGCTACCGCTGACCTTCATGTAATCAAAGACAGTACTGATCCAAATAAACAAGCCGCCCGCTCGCTCCCGTATGCTTTCGACTAATGTATCTTCTTCCCCGATTCCATCTTTCAAACCCGGATGCACATCCTTCAGTTCGTGTAGTTGTGATCGGATGTAGATAGCGCAGTCATGCATGTTAGCATCGTCCGACAGATCGATGGTGAGGCGATCAATAGGGTAATTCGGCGATAGGAAACGATCAACGAGGTCAAATTGTCTCGAAGTGAGAAAGAATTTGATGTTGGGTGGTAGTTTTGGGACTGCTTTCCGAAGTATATCGGCAAGACGTGGGAATGACTTTGTATCACACTCATCCAACGCATCAATGATAATCACCATAGGACGGTCAGACAAGGATGTCCTGAGACGGAGAGGTTCAGCCACGAGTTTCTCGAATTGCGTCGCGAATGGGGCAGTCGAAAAGCTGGGTCCTCCTGAAGAGCGGATATGAGGGAGGCACGGTATGCGGGGTCATTGGTTGCCAGAGATCGAGCCATGCCGCTGAACAGATGGTCCGGCTGCGACTGCTCCCCTGCTTTGAAAAAGAAGCTTGACGATGATATCTTTTCTCTTTTACACTCCTCTGCAATTGAGAGCGCAACAGATGTCTTGCCCGCACCGGCCACGGCAGTTAGCAGTAATACACGATTCTTGCTATCCTCCCGGTACGACACCACGCCATTATACGCTCGATCAGATCAGTCCTAGTGTCTGGCAGGCACGGCTGCGTTGAATCGTGATGGGGGACAATAGGATATTTAAGTTCATTCAGAACTTGATTGTTTGCTATCGCACCAACCATCAAGTCTGTCTCCAGCTACGATAATGAGATCAGGACAGAAACATAACCGGGATCAAACGGAACTACCTGGAACATTGCCAAGGCTTCGCTAAATCTTTCTTTAAATCATCAAGCCTACTGGGGTTTCATATGGGAGAGAAGTTGCGGATACCAAACTGTCTTTCCATCTTCCCACTCAATCGACGGATTTCAATTTGAATGCGCTCCAGCGCCCTACAGATTACTCATGTTATGCAACCGCAGTGGCTTGCATAGAGCAGATACTACTTACTCGCCCAGCTTCTTGACGCTTTCAACCCACGACTTGGGTTTTTCATTAGATTCACCATACGAACCAATGGCTGTAACCACATTGACCATGGCGTCCCCATATATTTCCAAAACGCTCCAATTCTCCCTTATTCCCTTGAATTTCTATGCAATGCAGATTGTCAAGTTCCGTCCCAGGGATCAATATATTGCGACTAACTTTGATTTCAGTGAGGATGAGCAGTGCGGCATTGGTGGCAGCCTGGAGGGAGGGAACACGCCGATGCGGTATTGACGGCAGTGAGGACTGGAATGGCAACATCGCCTCCCACGGCGAGGAGATTATCGACCCTCTGCCTCGGCGACATGGCCAATGGGGAGAAAAGGTCGGTCGCGCAGCGGATGATGACACTCAAGTAGAGGCTGCGGAGTTCACAGCCATGAGATTGCCGCAAGGCGCAATTCATCCCATTGCGTGCTTATGGAAAGTCTTGCGGCAGATCCCA